TCCCTCCATCGGTCTCCTTCCCTCCATCGGTCTCCTTTCCCTCCATCAGTCTCCTTCCCTCCATCAGTCTCCTTCCCTCTATCAGTCTCCTTTCCTTTATCAGTCTCCTTTCCTTCATGGCTCCTCCATCCCCCCATGTTTCCATCCTCTCCTCTCCCATGAATCCAGTCTTCGTGCCTGTCTTTCTCCAAATCGTTTTATCCATGCAGCATGACTCACACCGTCGCTCCGGCAGGAGGAGGACACATTAGCCGCTGAATGAACCGCCTGCCAGGATCAGGGGCCTGCATGGAGCTGATAACACATTCTGTCTCAGGAGGCCTCAGTCAGTCCTCTCTGCTTTCAGGGTGCAGCAGCTCGATCGATGAGCCTGAAATATAATTCTGTCAGAGCAGACGGCGGCTGAAAGGCAGGGTCAGTGATGGGATGATGGCGACGCCATCAAAGATCTAAACCTCCCTAAAATAATCAAAATCAGGGATAAGCCTGAGAAACCTTTCCTCTAGCTGCTGTCAGACAAATCAGACCAGAAGGTGAAGGCCTGGCAGCTCCCTCTACAGGCTGAGGCGTTTACTGCAGTTTACCCTGATGCCTTCACCATCACACCTGTGCACATGTTCAGCCTTTCCTCTGTACGACGGACTATTAAGGCCAGGCTAGAGATTTAGTTTTTGCTATTTTGAGAATAAAGTCCTAAATGTGAGGACACAGTGCAGGTCTGTAGAAATGGGGCACCATAGGCCAGTGTTCCAGCACCCTGACCTTTAATCCTCTATACTGCAGTCTTCTCCTTCTGCTCCACATGCTGCCATCTTTAGAAGTTCTCAGATTACTGTCTTATGGTCGGACTTTATCGCAGGTGATGATGAAGACGACTGTTGGACAACATCTCCTTCACCAAGCATGAACCGTCACAGAACCTGAAGGACCCTAAAAGGAATGACTGATGCACCCCAGGTGCAATAAGAAGCATTATCGCAAATCCTTCCTTCCAACTTCAATTAACTTTATATCATAATTTCCAATAAATATTTTTTAAACTATTTGGATTTCTTGTGCAAAGGAGTTTTGGTACATCAATATTTTCATAGCATAGTTCTACGCTTCACTCTTAGATGTGATTTAGAATAACTGGCAGTGAAATACAGACCAAACAATACAAGGTGTATTATTTACTGTAAATTAGCTAATGTTTTGTTATAATCATGACATATATATATATATACACACTCTTTACCAGTGATATACCTACAATGATAACTATTCTATTCTACTCTATTCTATTGTATTCTATCTGAAGTGAATGATAAAGAACAGTTATTTCAACAGTTGCTGGTGATCCTCAGTCATCCAGGTCATTGCAAAAAAGTTAAAAACAATCCACTGGACTTTGTTTCCAAGTTTGAAGACAGTTCGCTTCACATCCAGTAAGATTTTTCAATTTAAAAAACAAAATTATTAAAAAAAGCTTCCTGGATGCGAAGTGAAACATCTTCAAACCTGGAATCAAAGTCCAGTGGATTGATTTCTAACTTTTTTGGTGTTTCAACAGTTGGAAAAGTCCTCAGTGAAGTTCAGTAGATCTATGCGGAGGTTCTGTTGAGTTTGATGCGGTCAGACCAGAATATAAAGAAGTTAAGGGGGTTTAGGTTGTATGTCCGAGTGAGACCTCGATATATTTAAACCCATCTCTGCTTCTTCCAACTGGTGAGCCGAAGGAGCAGAGATTCTTTCTGTTGTCAATGTCTCCCTCTGCTGGTGGTGAGGAGAAACAGCACCAAACAGAGTGGATTTCCCTAAATGGTCTCATTTTTTATAAATCCATCTTCCCTTGCCTGTTTCTGATGCTGTTAATATCATCCTGCTGTTGGGTAAATATCACATCCACTGTGCTAAATGGAGAAATGCTAAATCCTCTTTTCATTGGTTTATCAATAACTTTAAAACCTTTTTTTTTTCATCTCTTAAAAAGAAATAAAAAAAGACAAATATGCAAAAAAAAAAAAAATGATGCTATTCTGATTACATCCACCATTTTTACATTTCTATGTTAGATTTCAATGTTTCTGCACATAAATCCCCTGCTATTTGTAATACTTTGTACTTTTCAATTCAATCTTCATTTTTGCGATCCTCTCTGAAAGTCTTTTTTTCGTGTTATTGGATTAATAAAAAGCGAATAAATAAATAAATAAAAAAGGTAATTGGCAAAGTTATGGAAGAGGATTAGGGCCACTGGAAAAATAAAAAAAGTTAACAGATTTTTAAATTTTATTTTAGTATAATATGAGATAAAGTCAGCTTTCAGAATTTTTCTCCGTATTAAAATGAAATAATATTAAAAAATCTGTTAACTTTTTTAATTTTCCAGTGTCCCTAATCCTCTTCCGTACAAACTTTAGCAACTTTGGACAGAATTTAAATAGGAACAGCTTTAAAAACATTCAGCTGTGTTTAAAAAGTCTAAAAATGAATAATAATAATAATCTAATATAAATTTTAAATTGAATTAGAATCAGAAATGATTTTGAACTGGAAATAAAACTTGATGTTTACTGTGAGAAATAATGTGACTCCTCCCACCATGTCGGGCTGTCCAATCAGCGCTCAGGATGAGCTGGCAATAACCCACCCGGAAGTGCTTCTCCTAGCATGCTAAGCTAACGCTAAAGGCTAGCAGCACAGTCAGCGGAGGAGTTCAGCTCTTTGGTTCGTGGTTTTCTGCTCTGGTTCCGGTTCTGTTCTGAAAGGTGAGTCCAAACCGCTGAAAACCAAACGAACCAGTGTTCCTCTTTTATCTGTTTTTCAGGCTGTTCGATGTTTTGATGATGTTTAAGAATCCAGCGATTAGACGGAGCCTGAAGTTGTTGGTGTGAGAATGACAGGATTAGACTTTTTATTTAGCGGGAAATACACGGAGCCAAACCCTGATCTGGATCTGGACTCAGGGCGGCTCTGAGGTTCTGGAAGGCCTCGTTCAGTCCGGGGGTTTTATTTTAGGGAGGGTTGGTTCTGGAGAGAAGCAGTCCTGGGCATAACCTGCCACACCTCCTCCCCCCCCAGTCTCAGATTAGCAGAACAGCAGCCCAGCTGTCTGAGATTATTAGATTACTGATTCCTCAGAAGCAGAGAAAATATTTCCACATCGCTGCTCATTTTCTCCTGCTTGGATCCTCTGGTACCGCCTAGAACCGGTTTGATCTTCATTCATGTTATGGTTTAATGTTGAGGATTGATTAATTTTATTGATCTGACAGTGGAGAATGTGTGTGTGTGGGGGGGGGGGGTACAGAACCTCCTGATTTTGCCTTTTTGTCCCTGAAATGTCTTAAAACATCTAAAAACTGTTGGAGAACAAGCTGCTGAAGATTCTCAGTCATCCAGGTCACTGTCATTCCGAAAGCGTTATAAAACAATCCACTGGACTTTGTTTCCCAGTTTTAAGACGTTTCTCTTCCATCCAGGAAGATTTTTCAGTTCAAAATGTCAGAAATAGCGTTTAGTTCCAGGTTTTATCCAGCAGCCCAACAAAGCCTGGTTTTAGTTTAGAAAACATGCAAATAGAAACGGATAAATGGGTCCCCCCCTTTACAGGGGAACAGAAGACCCCGACTATTCAGCCGGGCCAACAATCCCCTTTAACAACCCCCCATTCCAAAGGGATGGACCCGTTCGTCCGGCTCAATTTGCATGTTTTCTAAACAAATGACCTTTCTCAATTTACAAGAACATGAGTACAGACTTGTGTTCTCGCCAAATATGTTCTGGAGAAAAACCCAGGAAAGTCTGGACTCGGGGAGAACGGGAGCACGCAGCATAAATCTGGGTCAATTGGATATGAAGCGTAGTGATGACATCACCACATGCTCAGCTCGTCTGGAGCTGCATTTCACCTCCTGTTATTGATAGTCTCTAGATAATAATAGATTCTTACTTTTTTCTTTTAGTGGGGGGGATAATATTTAACAGTCAGATAAACATAAATCTAATGAACATTTTGCCGAATAAATCAAACCTCCATCAGAGCCAGCGGTCCTTCACACACGGCTATGCAGAGAGAGGGCTGCTGCAGACGGGCTGACGTTAGCCCCGGCCGCTGCAGACGGGCTGACGTTAGCCCCGGCCGCTGCAGACGGGCTGACGTTAGCCCCGGCCGCTGCAGACGGGCTGACGTTCTCACCTCACATGATCTTAAAACGTACTTTTATTTAACAACAGAAAAGAGAACCTTTAACTTAATACTCTGAGCTCTGTGAGCGCTAACCTGGAAGCTGCTGCTGCTGCAGTGCATGCTGGGACAGCTGTCAGTTTGGAGAACGGACAAATCGGCTCTGATGCATGCTGGGTAAAGAGGGAGGGGCCAGAACAACATCCGGGGACTTCGTCTGTTCTCAGGCTCCTGTTCTTGTGAATTGGAACAGCGCTAGAGCTGAGGATGATGACGTTTCACGAGAACGCACAAGTACTCATAGTGAGAACTGGACAAAAACCAGGTTTTGTTGGACTATGGCATAAAGCCTGGAACTAAACGCTATTTCTGACATTTTGAATTGAAAAATCTTCCTGGATGGAAGAGAAACGTCTTCAAACTTGGAATTAAAGTCCAGTGGATTGATTTCTAAATTTTCTGGTATTTCAACAGTTGGAAAAGTTCTCAACTTTTTTGAACTGTTGAAGAAGAATCACCTGAGACTTAAAAAAAAAAAAGGATTAGATCCGGCCAAACTAACCTGGCTCTGTCCCCCTAAACCCCCGTTTTACAGCTTCTATTTACTCATTTTATCTTTAGTTAATCTTTAATGTCAACATTAGTTAGCTGATTTAATCACCTTTCATCTTACCACCTTTGTTCCCATGGTGACGTCATTCTAATCAATTTTATCAATTCTTTGAGTTGGACACAAAGTGATCAAACTGAGAAACTGATGATGATTAAATAATGTTGTGGCTGAAAGCTCCGTTAGGCTCAGAGGAACCGGTCCAAATGGACCCGGACTGGTTCCCAGTAACCTGGAAGGATTCTAATGGTTTTTATTTGTGCTCTCTGTCTCTGTGTCCAGATGAGTCTACAGTGGACGGCCGTGGCCACCTTCCTCTATGTGGAGGTCTTCCTGGTTCTTCTTCTCTGCATCCCCTTCATCTCTCCTAAAAGGTCGGTGTTCACCTGTCCTCAGTCACACCAGGTGAAAACTTTTCAGAGATTTCAGCGGTCTGGAAAAGCTGACGCCCGGTTCAGTCTCAAAATAACAGAGAAGTAAAAAAATAAGAGGCCATGGAGTCATTTTCTGCACAAAAACTATATGAGGGGTAAAATGCCTGAGTTGCTTTTTTTCCATCAATGTAACATTCAATATATTTTAGCACAACTTTTTCAAACGAGAGACAACAAACTCTACAAAAACTACAGCATCATCCACTGATTAAAGAATTACTGCATTGACATTTCACAGGGAATGACTTTCTATTTCCTCTACTTTCTATTTTCTAACGTTAGACCCAATGGCTAACTCATTCAGACTGTTAGTCTGCAGACTATCCTATCGGATCCATCGGCTATAGATGGATTTATTGCTTAGTTCATCCACTGACTGGGAAATTCCCTGACGAACGTCTTCCTGCAGCCAGAAAACTGCTGGTTTCTGCAGCCAAATGCTGCACATGGAGGCACTTTGACTGCACGTCTCTATGGGAGTAGGGAGTACCAATATGGCGGCCGATGGCTTCACTTTTTTCAGGCTATCAGCGATCCAGTGAATGTAGATCAGTGGTAGTTAGTGATGCTGAGATGAAGCCTCATTGAACCGTTTGGCCAAATAGCTTCAACGATCCCCACAGTTCATGAGGCTCCATGTGAACATGTCACCACCTACTGGTGGACAGCAGAACTACAGTTTGTAATAAAATCTGTTTTTTTGCAACTGTTTTTCTTTTTTTTTCCCCATTTCAAGTTCCCTTGAAATTGTTATGGTTGGTGTGTATAATAAAATCTTTTGTAATTTTTTTTCAGTGTAAAACTTCTTAGAACAATCATTTAAGGTGCACCGTTTTCTGCCATTTTAGTGAAATAAACTCAAGCAGACAGTGAAAGTGTTTGGGATTATTAAAGCATTTCTGATTCTCATTGCCCAGTTTGCCCAGTTTGCACAGAGGGAAATTACTTTGAGCAATGATGAGAAAAATGAAAGGTGTTATTTTAACATGATAGTTTTTCCACGTTTTTTGGTTTTAATCAGGTTGGAAGTTGTGTTCAATCAATCTTTTGATTTAACCAACCTAATTTACCCAATCTATATTTTTACTCGGGCAAAACAACGCAAATTAGTCTCATCAGCCAGTTTAATCATAATTTTCAAAAGTCAAAGACAGGTGTTGAACCATCAACTTCTAGAGTGGGAGCCTGTCTCTAACAGATGACGCTGCCTATGTAGATGACCATAGCAAGGAGAAAATACTAGTTAACACCGACATTGTCCGATGGTTTGCTCAGATTTTGATCATTACATTGTTTATTCAAGCCAAATTAGTTTTAAGCAACTAGATTGGTTGGAAAAACAACCAATCTATTCTTAGAATCTATCCCGCTGACAGCATCTCTCCTCCAAACTCCCACATCTTGACCGAACACTGAGGCTGTTTAGATGCCTGTCCAAATTCTTGTGCTTCCCGAACCACTTTGCGAAGCGGTCACGTGGTTTCATGCTAGCGAGGCCTCGGACGTCATTAATTTTGGCCCCTTCTCTAAATGAATCACGCCTCGACACGCGCTTCAGGGAAACGCCCCCTCCATTACTCGACACGCCTCGAAGCCTCGGCTCATCTCATGACATCACTAGTGGTATTATCACAAAGAGGAAGACAGAGTTGCAGCTGAAAGCGGATCTATTTAGGCTAGCTAAAAGTTAGCATTTTTCCACACGACAAGAACATGAAAAATTTTAACCGCAAATGCTTTTATCTTAATATTTAAAACATTTTAAAGAAAATTGAACTTGTTCTTTTTTTTCAGTAGGTGTGTAAATCCGACCTCTTTAAGATAAATTCATGTTAGTTCATTTAATCGGATTGTTTCTGGCCCCATTCAAAAGTTCTTGAAATGTTCTGAAACGTCTCAGAATCAGTTTGTGCATCGCTATGGCAACAGGATCCAGATGCGTGGTTAGGAAGGAGAGGGCCCCGCTCTGGTACCAGCCGGTTCTGACCTGCTGCTTTGGTTCCTGTTGGGTCTGGGCCAGAGATGCACTGATCTGACATCGCCTCCGATGATTAATTTCTGGATCAGATATCGGGGATCCAATCCAGAACCCTTTACATGGAATTTATCTGTCTTTTTGCTGCTTATTTGTTAATAAATGATATAAAGTTAATTTATACCTGTGTTGATTTATTACCTTTTTAAATAATTATCTTTGGGCTAATCCATCATTCAGATGCTGAGAAATGTGTTTCATTGATTGAGTCGTTGAATCGGATCGCTATCAGATATCAGCCCATGATGCGTCTCTAGACTGGGCTCAGGAGGGGTTCCACCTCTGGTTCTGGGAACCATAACCGGCTCTGCTTCTCCCTTCTTTCAGCTGGAGCAGGGTCTTCAAGTCCCGGCTGGTGCAGACCATCGCCCTGTATGGAAACACCTGGTTCATGGTGGCCATGGCCATCCTGGTCTTCCTCCTCATCGGTAAATCTCTACAGAAATATTCTAGATAAGTGCTGACCCAGTGGGTTAGAGCAGCGCGCTGTGCTCTGAGAAGGCTGCAAATACCCGGTTTGATCCCCACAGCCTCCACTCTGAGTCCCTGAGCAAGACCCTTTACCTGCATTTAACCCATTTAACCCATCCACTTGGGTTAAATGGGTTAAATGCAGAGAGAGAATCTCCCCTTTGTGAGACAATAAAGGGATTTACATACATGGATATCTACTCTAACTTATCTATAGAGCTGCTTTCTGAATCAACCATGATGATCTAGAAATCTGATCTCTTTCGTTTTTGGGTAAAATAAAAAAAAGGAAAAATAAAGAAAAAAAGGATTTTATTCAGCTGTGGGGTTTTAATATTTTATGAAGTGTATCAGATGATGGACAGCTCCAGTTTAACAGGCTCCTCCTTTAATGATTTTTAACTGACGCTTGTTTTACATCAATAACTGTTTATATGTTTTGAATTGTGTGAATAAAGTGTTAAAAGTAAAATAAAGTCTAAACCAGCATCAGCTGCGGTCAGAGAGCTGAAGCCGATCAGCAGCTGAATCTCACTGAAGATCAAACTGTTCGATGGGATATCTGTAAACTTAGATCTGTGTTTGTTGCTACCAGCTGGTGTTAACGGTGTGTTGATGTGTGCAGATGCGTTTCGTGAAGTCAGGAAGTACAGCGTGACGGACAAAGTGGACGTGACCAACAACCCCACGGCCATCGAACACATCCACATGAAGCTGTTCAGAGCTCAGAGGAACGAGTACATCGCCGGCTTCGCCCTGCTGCTCTGCCTGTAAGACACACACACGGTCTGGTTTCACTATTATGGTGGGGACTTTCCATTGACCTCCATTCATTTATGAGTTATACAGCCTAACGGGAACCCTTACCCTAAAGCTATCCATTACAGTGAATACCTAACCCTAACCAAAACTCAATGCACACCTTAGTCCAGGGATGTCAGACCGGTTCCAGAAAGCGCCGTATGGCCGCTGGTTTTCCTTCAACCGAGCATTAGCACCACAGACTGCAGTCATCTCATCACGTCGTCATTAAGACTGGAGCTACCTGTTGAGGTGACTGCAGTCTGCTGTGCTATTGTATGGAGGGAATTTTCTGCCCAAATGTTGCATGTAAAAAATACGGAAGAGGATTAGGGCCACTGAAAAAAATAAATAAAAGTTAACTGATTTTAAATTTTCTTTCAGTTTAATATGGGAAAAAAGTCAGAATTCAGACTTTAATCTCAGAATTCAGACTTTAATGTCTGAATTCAGACTTTTTTCTCTGAATTTTGACTTTAATCTCTGAATTCAGACTTTAATCTCTGAATTCAGACTTTAATCTCTGAATTCAGACTTTTTTCTCTGAATTTAGACTTTAATCTCTGAATTTTGACTTTAATCTCTGAATTTTGACTTTAATCTCAGAATTCAGACTTTAATCTCAGAATTTTGACTTTTTTCTCTGAATTTTGACTTTTTTCTCTGAATTTTGACTTTAATCTCAGAATTCAGACTTTAATCTCAGAATTTTGACTTTTTTCTCTGAATTTTGACTTTAATCTCAGAATTCAGACTTTAATCTCAGAATTTTGACTTTTTTCT